GTACACTATCAGAATCTTGAATAATCGTTCTTGGAGACTTTTCTTTTGAGTTATTTTTTCAGACCATAGGGTTAGATAAAAGAGCAGATTAGATGGGTATTGGGCGGACACGGTGAATGAGTTTAGTATTACGCCGCACTCAGCAATATTCCAGCTATATGGCGGCGGTCTGTAAATAGTCGAGTCTAGACCAGACAATCCAGTGATCAACAGCATGGGCATCGATCTACGCCCCTTACGACAAGCATGGGTTACTGAAGATCAATTCTAACCCGGAACTTCAAAGGTCTGGCTGGACACAGCGTATGGGATCATATCTGAGAACAACATAAATTGTCCCAGAAAATACCTTTCAGAAAATACACACAAAAATATCTACAACAATCGTACACTGTTGCAATGTACCCCCTGATTTGCGGCTTTAGATGAAATATTATCCAGTCTCAAAATAACATCCTAATTCCTTATCCGGCACTGGTGTTTATATCGTTCGAAACGATCGTAGCCCTAAGAATTCTTAACTTTGATCGTAGCCCATGTGTTAAGAATGGGCTTAAGAAGTTCGTAGGGCTACGAACGTTTCGAGAATAGCTAGCCAGATGTATGCCCAGGATAAGTGTGTGAGATAAAATCTTCCCTTGTGTTGACAGAAGTCTGACCATATAAATGTAGCTAGTGAGTTTCATTTTAAGCCACTTTTATCAATATTCCAGCAATATCATGGCGGGGATGCCAGAAATGGGCTTCACACATTGTACCCATGTTAAGAATCGAACCCGAGTCTTCGGCGTGACGAGCGAACGCTTTAATCACTAGGCTACTCCACATCCCAAATCATATTGCGTCATGGACGAATAAAAAATATTACCTCGGGGCATAAACAAGACACACATTTGGCTCTGAAATGAAAACGACTCGTGTTGGGCAGTTGACTGGACGGTGAATACAGACTGTCTGTCCGACAACTCAGTTTAGGTAAAATGTGTTTTAGTAATAATCGAAATGATCCCCGAGAATATGTTCCTGTTCAGACCTGATTCTGAAGGAACCTAGACTTGCATAGGAATACTGATTTTTGTATCGTTTCAGGGTTTGCATTAACCTTGCCCGAAGTCTGTATAGGGTGCTAATCCCATGAATGTAATCTAAGGACGCCAGTCTGTTAGAGGGACGGTGTATTCTTTTTATTCATATATCTTTAGAAATGATCATTTACACTATTATTTATTACCTTGGGGACTTGTGCAAGTCTAGGTCTATTTGAAAGACTAGGGACATGTATTACAAAGAATAATCACCATTCTGTACGAGGAATGAAAACATGCGCCTTACAGATGGATTTGCTGTAGATTTAACCGCCGCAAATTAACATTCCGGGAGACGAGTAAAATACACAGACGCTAGAGCAGGGTTAAATGTTATTCAAATATCCCCTTTCCTGCGCACATATAGACTATCGCATAGACTCTGAAAATATATAATTTTGATGGAAACAAATGAAAAGGAGCCACAGTGAAATGGAAGATTCGGAGCCTGAGTAACATATATAGACATGCTTCCTTTATCGCTTTCCCCCAGGAGAATCGGCTGGGATGAAGGGGGAATGATATGGTTCAGCGACTGAGACAGACCAGCACACACACAAACAGTCATCACTCACCCAGCTACAAAGTAGGGGGCTCCGGCTGGTTCAGACTAACATCTAGACTCTGAAATAAACATTTTACAGAAAACCAGCCTCTTAATTATTTTCATAAAATATTCATAAAAAGGAGAATAGAGATTTCCTTCATTTTCAGAGACTGTGGTACTCTAAGACACTACTTATTTAATTCTCTTTTCTCTCAAATTAGTTACTTTCAAAGCCTTACCACCGCAGAGAAATTTAGCCTCTTGTTTACAAATACATGTAATGTACCAGATAGCATAGAAATAATTTGCTATCATATATACAACTCCAAACAAATGTAGAAAATCCCTAGATTGTCCTAGACCGTTATATACATTTGTCTTAGTATATGTATTGTTACTCTGATTCGGGACGGTGGGGTAGCCTAGTGGTTAAAGCGTTGGCTCGTCACGCCGAAGACCCAGGTTCGAATCCCCACATGGGTACAATGTGTGAAGCCCATTTCTGGTGTCCCCCGCCGTGATGTTGCTGGAATATTGCTAAAAGCGGCGTAAAACCAAAACTCACTCAGTCAGTCAGTTACTCTGATTCGTTATATTTTGTTTATGTAGTTTATAGAATATTGTCACTGTTTCTGCATGGAACGTTTGCGCAATAATATATCTTGTATCTTGTATCTAGACTTTCACGGGCTGCATTGGGTAAACATGTTTGAGGGTCTGTATGACTCGACCAGAGACCATATAATATTATATGGTCTCTGGTATGACAGACGATTGTTGGATATGAAACATACGTCTTAGAAATGCCCGAAAAAAACCCAACGTTTTCCAAATACCAATTACATTCATTTAATGAACACACACTAGTACTTATTTACAAAAAACAACATACAAATTGTGTTCTCAGGCATTTTACGTTTCACATTACCATGGAAGTTGCTTTTTTTAGCTGAGCTGAATATTTACCATATTTATACTTACTTCCTGGTCGATTCTGAGAACAATTAGAAAGTAAGTGAACATGCTAAATGACGCAATTCCTTTACGGAAGGCTGCACGATTGAGATACTCAAATGTCACATTACTGATATCAAAATAGAAACAATAGCCCACGTTGAAACAGAATGACGATTCCCCAAACTGCTCTTTCTCGTTTGAATGCGACGAGAAACACGTGTTGGCTGGTCTCAATGTCAACACGTTGAGCTCTGATGTACGCTGTAGCGGGCGGGGAGGAACTCGGATCAGGGATATCTCTGTACAAATTCTCCTCCTCCATAAATACACGATTTAAGCCAAACACGTCTAGCCAAAGGACATGAATTGATAATGAGGGACATGGTCATGGTTTGTTGCTAGACAGTTTTGTAATATACGCATGAACTATTCCGCTCTTGCTATGCCCTATTTATACCTCGATTTGACATTTGTTTTACATTGCAAGCCTCGCAAGGCAGCGAGAGGGCGTGTTTCACTTGTTCTCAGACCAGCAACGCAAAGTCTCAACAAGTGCGCTGTCGAAGATCATGTCGGATAGGAAAAGTACTTAGGAGACACTGAATCCAACTTATTCAGCCTAGGTTGCTGAAGGTACATCTGTTTTGATATCAAGCGATTTGTGGATGGGATTTGGATATTTTTAGCCACGTGTACTTTTTTATATGCAGATGGATGGATATATGCCGAGATGTGATCCTATGTTTCACACTCGGTGTATGCAAAGAGGTCTAGGACTGTGTTGAAGTGTGCAAGCTTGTGAACTGAGTGCCTGCTGAAGCCATTTTACAGTATGTAACTTGGAAAACAACCCGTTCTTCTGGATGGCAACTCTACAATAACGAGCCAACATGCGGCAGGAAGATTTTGTGGTATTTTCTGATATACTAGTTTGGTTTAAACACAGTCATACAACGGAACAGGGATCAGTGGAACTGAGCGATCATATTCTCCAGTGAATTAGTTTTCAAGCAGTTCTCGCAAAGGGCATGATGCCCTAGATGCGGCATCGCTCGGTGCTACCCCTGACATTAGAGGGCACGGGAGGGGTGCATATATTCCCCTTCCATGCACGCGGGGTTTATCAGTGTTTACCGTTAGGAGTGGCTGCGGAGAGAGAGGTGGATTCAATGAACCTGACTTTTGACTTCAAAGGTCGCCCATGAATTATTGAATTGGATGTTTAGTCAAGAATTAATACTAGACTTGTTGCAACATTTTTGGCGAATATAACCTTGAGTTTCGCTCAGTGGGATGACTGAGGATCAGTTTGCACAGCCAGGAGTAACATAACACAGTATCTGCTTTTGAATACTAACGCGTGACTTCTGACGTTCAGTTACAGTGTATACGAACCAAGGGGATATACATGGAGTACCTAGTAACTAGACTGGTCACCCACCAGTGAAGCACATTCGTTCGTTCATCAAGGAACTGGATATGAACCGGCTGTGAGGGTCAAGTGCTATGAAGGAGCTTAATCCATCATAAAATTGAGGCACGGTTTGTACGACACACCAACAGAGACTTCCTGCACATTGCTACAGGAGTGAGGGTTGAACACAACGGACGTTTATGTGAAAGTGTTTTCTAAGTGCTGTATCAAGAGTCCTTATCATTAGGGCAACTGCATGCATGTTGAGCAAACATCACCAGCCCAGAGTCACGCAAGGCTATAAAACTGTAGCTTGTGTTTACCAAACGACGAACTCGAACGCGATATGATCATGCCTCTACAAAAATATGTTTACTTATGCTGCATAGTATTTGTGTTTGCTGCATGTCACAAGCAATAATTCCGGAAACAGAGTTCAACCCTTATGGAGGACTGTGATATGAAGGTCTGAGGAATAACACCTGACGCTGAGTCACCGTTTGTGCATACTCACTATTTTTTGCATCAGCCGGACAGGAGCCACCTCTTCTCGCGTCTGTGATAAACCATGGTGAATTATTTCTGTGGCTGTTCATTCCAGGGAATTGTTTCTGTGTAAACTGATAAGGTTTTCTTTGAATTATCTACGGGAATGAGAAGGGGTATCGTCATGATTGCAGTGTATTCAGCGCTGCTGGCGACCTGGCTCGCCGTGGGTGTGTCTGGGAGCTCCTGTCCGACTCAGTCTATAGCTATCAAACTAAATGGAACACTTGGGACTCCGGATTTCCCAAGTTTAGACCATCTTCTTAATATTTTGTCAAAGGAAAACTCTACGTCTAGGGGTATTGATTTGGATTTGTCTGACAATTCAATTGTATCATTGTCCTCTCAGACATTCGCTGATGTCATTTTTCAAAGAGTCACATCACTGGATCTGTCAGGTAACAACCTGAAAGAGACACAAAAGGGTTGTTCAAGAACATGAAATGTTTGAAAAGATTGAATTTAGGTGCTAATAACTTTAAGATGATCGCAAGTGATGCATTTCATGATTTGGGAGGTTTGGAGGTACTACGCATGAGAGATAATTACATGATAGAGCTTCCATCTGGAATACTGGATACCGGACCGATGACTTCCAGGCTAAGAGTATTTGATGCTTCAAGGAACAAAATCGCTACCATTGGTGTGGAGGTATTCCACAAGGGACTGGTGTCGCTGACAGAAGTGAACTTGTCCTATAATCGCCTGAAGACGTTTGAGCCATGGCCATACATACTAGATATCCCTGTGTCAAGACCACGGCGGTTCAACCTTCAGCATAATAATATATCTCGGTTGACCAACAACCTCGGATGGACAAAGACCAGAGAATTTCGCGGTAGTGTAGATCTTAGATACAACAGTTTCCGGCACTTCAGGAAGGAACAATTCAGTCAATACCTGGCTGGAGCTGAACCAACTGCTTTCGATATTGGAACGATGTATCTCAATCTCAGTGACAATCCATGGTTCTGTGATTGTGGATTTCACTATGCTGTCAAGATAGCCACTGAAACCTTTTATCTTAAAGCAGCTCTAGACTACTTTCAGTGTCATGGTCCTGGTGAATTTAAAGGAAAATATTTTTCATATTTCTTCGATCATCCAGACCAACTGATTTGTAATATCACAGAAAGATGTCCTGCTGACTGCAAGTGTCAAGACCGACCTCACGATGGTTACATACTAGTGGACTGCTCCAGGTCTGGAGAATATACCGACTTGCCACAGACTGTGCCTCCAGGGCCATTGTTCCTTCAGCTGTCTCATAACGAAATATCTACATTGTCTCACAGAGACTATCTACAAAATATCACGCGTCTTGATGTGTCTTCAAATAACATTTTACTCTTGAAAAATTCCTTTCTCGAGAAAGTACCAAGTTTGGAACATATTGACATTAGAAACAACAGTTTAAAGACCTTGCCTCCCAAAATTCAAACCTTTAGTGTCTCATCTGTCAAGTTCAGTGGAAACCCTCTCGTCTGCTCATGTGACACTATTTGGATAAATGATTGGATACGACGTAATTCTGAGAACATGTCTTCTGACTCCCTGTCCCATCACTTGTGCTACCATAATGGACGTCATTTACGTCTTGTGGATGTGACTGGGAACTCTCTTGTCTGCTATCGAGATATCGCCATTATTGTTAGTGTGGTGCTTGGAGTGTTGCTTCTCATTCTCATTATTTGTACTGTCGTCTGCTGCAAGCGGAAATACGAGTGTAAAGTATTGATGTATAACTACTTCCGTGTTCATCCATTTGACCACGCGTCTTGTGACAAGGCTGACGATGCAACTAAAAGACACGATGTCTACATATCCATAGACAGGGAAAACGAAGACATCAGGCTTTGGGTGAAAGATAAACTTTTGAAACAACTGGAAAAACAGAAAAAGTCCCGTCCAGTATACAAAGTGTATTACCCCTGTCGTCAGGACGATTTTGGGGATAGTATAGCAGATCAGATGGTGGAAAACATCAACAAAAGTAGAAGAGTTCTTGCTATTGTAAATAGTTCATATGTGAAAAACGGCTGGTCCATAGAAGAATTCGACTTCGCTCATCGTCTTATGGAAGAAACTAAATCAGGTCGTCTGCTCGTTTTAATACACGGTGACCTTGACCTCTCTACTGTGACACAGGAGCCGCTGAAGACCTACCTGAGTGGTCGTCAATGTCTGAATGTCTCTGACCGGTGGTTGTGGAGGAAACTAAGGTACGAACTGCCCCAAAGACCTCGAACCAACCCGACTTCTGCGTCAAGGGAGAGCCTCACGAGTGGTTTCAGTAGCATTCACGCCTCTCTGTCCGAGAGTAGTGGCATATCCGAGAACCAGATGGACAATCCAAATTTTGTGACGACCGGTGTGGTGTAGCCGTAGTGACATTGACTTGAATGCTGCTTTGTAGTTCATACTAATCTGTGTGTGGTAAGAATGGTGTGGAATAAATGTGACATTTTTACATTCTCTCTTGTGCTTATTGTCATCACATGGGAGAGAAAGATGCATGAGGTGATCTTTAGTGTTTTCGAAAGAAGTCAGTCAATAACTTCTTTGAAAGGCATTTTAGAAGTTGTAAAGATGAAGGAAAGCCAAGTTGTGTGGATAGTCAACTTCTTTATTGCAATGAGTACGACCGTTGTCAAGCTAGTCTGTCTCACAGTCCCTGAACCACATTATTTTCCCTACTGCCAAGCACTCTCTGCAATGCTAAAGCCCTAAATAAAGCAGGTCTAGACTTCCTCAGGTTCCATCTCTGGTCTCCCTGGGTCTCCTTTTCAATTTATATGGGTTTGTTTGTTACTATCAAAATTATATATATTCAGAGACTAAGCGTTAGTCTATTGTCAAGCAAGTGCTTGCCGAAAACGTCGCACTTATTGTCATAAAAAAGGTTGACAATCCATACGACTAAGTAAGTCAATATATTCTGACAGAAGCTTCGGGGTGACGCTACATGTATTTGCTTAAAAGTGAGGGCATATTTTCTAAGCAGCTTTTGACAAACTTGCGTCAATATCACGAACTGCGGACTTCTGAAATACTAGTATAAGAATAATACAAGTCAAAACATTGATTACACAACAGTCTCGTTTCCTGATGACCGGGTTCCGTCCTTTTGCGCAACTTAGTACAATAACCAGTCCAGAATTTTGAGACCACTTCATTGAACTGGATACATAAATATTAATCAGTATTGTTTGATACTTCTAACCACTTGTATATTGCAACACTACGCTCCTTATAATCCTTGCAAACACGTCGTGCAGCGGGCTTTGTCGTACAACGTGCTCTGACAAACGGAAATCTGGAAATCGTGGAAATCTCAAAACGAGGCTCTGCCGCTAGAAAGGTTTGGCGGTTTGGTACGGACTTGATATTATATCAATCACATTGTGCGTTACAGAACTACACTGAATAAGTGCAAAGAACGCATAACAGGTGTAAGCAGTGAGCCAGATGAATTGTAAATCTTTTTGCGACCTCATCAAACAGGGGCAGTCTGTGACGTCTTAGTTAAGGTCATTCTGACTACACCTCGCCATAAAATATAGAAATACGATGCTATTAAGGTTTACAATGAAAATTAACTTGTAAATATCATTTTCTTATGAGACAAGGAATTGGAATTCAGTGTAACCATAGTTGTTTGTGGTGTCTCTTTTCACTTTCACACGAGAAAATTCGGATCGGCTGAAAAGTAGGTCATTGTCTGAACAGGTTAATGAGACTCATGCTTCGGTTTGGGATGTATATAATGGTGAAAATAAAAATGGTATTTTCACTGAATAGAACACACTTCATCTTCACGAGAGTTTCAATTGTCATTTAATAAACTTTCAGGATAAGGGGGTGTGTGTGTACATTTACAAGGGACTTATTCCTGATGTGGTAGATTTAGAATTATACACAATGACAGCTGCTGTTGAAGACCTTTCCACCAATACATCACAGCATATTTCACCAGAGGGACTGGAAGAACCGGCAACCACCTAGAGTTGACAGCACTCTATAGGACGTCATTTCATTTTGTATGGCGTCAGGTGTGTTGCCCGTCAGTGTTAGTTGTCGTGCACTTCTGAGATCCCCTGTGGCGCAACTCTCTGTAGGCATTACCTGTTGCGCCCTTAGGGTAACATAACAAGAGGTTATTACATGACAGTTTTTTCATATACCAGATCAAGGGACGTAACTCATAAAGGAAAACGTGATATGAGCCTAGTCCATTTTAGAGTTACGTCCCTTGATGTGATGTATGCTGTATGACAGTTTCCTTTTTATTAATGGACTGGCGAAAGAAAAACTCATATGTAATAACCTCTAAGTATTGCCACTTCTGGGACTTATACACACAGACACATACGCCCGCAATCACTCACACACGCTCGCACGAGCACATACATACTGACCCCATATAATACCTGTCATATATGTATGTATGACGGACGGACTGCATTTATGTCAGTGCATATGCTGTGGAGATGTGTGTTGTCTGTCATGGCTCCTTTGTGTACACTTGATGTTGCACTTGGTGTCCGGTTGCGCCCGGTTGCATCCACTTCCTGGTTTATATCACCACTTAAGAACATTGTGTACATTCAGCTTCATGTGTTCATTATTTATGATAGAGTTACTTAAAGATTCAGGGTTTATGCTTCTGTGTAAACATGTATTTATAGATCTATATGCATGGACACATTTTGATAATCTCTGTATTAAATGTATAATAAACAACTTCAAAATGTCTCGTCTTCGATTTTGAAGACCTTGAGCAATATCTTTCGGACTTTGTTAACTGTGCATGCAGTCTCTGGAGATAAATTAACCCTACCAACTACAGTGAAACCTGTCTAAAGCGGCACCCCACGGGGCCAACATAAAATGCCGGTTTAGACAGGGTGCCGGATAAGACAGTGACGATCGTTGTCAACCAATTAATGGCTGTTGGGTCTGCCAGTGAATCCGTTCCCTAATATATTTTCATGAAGATATTCACAATCATGTCATATCTGTCATTTCTCTGTGAATACATCTCGATAGATTGCCTTATCTCCTTAAACCAGTACAAAGATAATCAGGAAGAAGTGATTGCGCGGTGGCGACAACATGACGCCACAACACGACTTAAAGTCCCGCCTTTCTAGTTTGATTGATGGGAACTCACCTGAGGACGTTTTCAATTGCGACGAAACGGGTCTTGTGTTTCGCGCGTTACGTGACAAGACACTGGCTACTAAGATTGAGAACGATCGTCACTGTCTAATCCGGCACCCTGTCTAAACCGGCATTTTATGTTGGCCCCGTGGGGTGCCGCTTTAGACAGGTTTCAATGTAGTTGGTAGGGTTAATTTATTTCCAGAGACTGCATGCACAGGGGCAGGGTGACATATCAAGTGATCATGATATAAGAAGCTTTCAGCAAGACTGCACAACATTAAATAGTTGAGCTAAACAGAAAATTGTATTCTTGCATTATTAAAGCTGCGCCACTTTAGAAATAAATTCTTTTGACAACCAACATTCAACAACAATGGGGATTTTATGAGCTAAGGGAAAAAAGTGGTATGCCTAGTAGTTGAACATTATAAATGCTCATTCTATACTTGAGATGAATTTCTTAGTAGAGCCAGGATCTGCTGATAATTTGTTTAAATCCAAGACTCGACCTGCTTGTGAGCCTTGGTTCCACAGCACCATGTCCCAGTGGGTATCCCTGAAGAGTTCTGACATTGGTCTTTCTTCCCACATTTAGGTGACCCTAGGTGATGTAACTGGAATACTATTCAAAGCAGTGTTAAGATAAAATCTCCTTTTCCAAACTGGCCATGAAATGTTTTCTGCTAAAATAATGTTTTCTTATGTGTTGGTGCATGTGAGAGAGAAGATGTCAAACTTAACACGTGGAAAAAAGTATTGCAACACCAAAGATTCTTAATCCCAATATTGCCATTTATATTCATATCACAACTGTAGGGGTAACCGAATAGTTAAAGCGTCCTCATCACGCTGAATACATGGGGACCGCCTCTGTGGTGTAGTGGTTAGAGCGTCCGCCCGGAGTGCGGAAGGTCGCGGGTTCGATCCTCGACCGCGTCATACCAAAAGACATTAAAATATGGTACTTGTTGGTCCCTGCCTGGCGCTCGGCATTAATGGGTACAACAAGGACTGGTCGGCTTGGAGTCAGTATAATGTGTCTGAGGGTATTCATGCTTCACTGTGGCATGGTCTCAGTGGGCTAGCACTATAAAACCAGCTTCAGTCTGGGCTAGTACAAGCAGCCGCACACATACACACGCATCATGTCGTCATATGAGTGAAATATTCTCCAGTGCGATGTTAAACCCAATTTCACCTCACCTGAAGACATGGGTAGAATGTGTGAAGCCCATTTCTGGTGTTTCCCACTGTGATATTGCTGGAGTATTGCTAAATGCATTGTAAAAAGATTCTCAATCACTCACGATAAAGTTTTGTTGTTTTTTACCCTTAGGGACCACCCTACTTTGATTTTAGATAATGCTGTGATCAAAGGCGAGAATCATGTGAGATCCGTGTACCAGTCATTAAGCAAATAGCAAGTTTCAGTAAACTGTTCGTACATAACTTGGAAAATTAATTGATTTAGTTATTTATAAACAACTTTGGGGCCTCCTCAATTGACCATTGCTCAAAGATGGCAAGTTACTGCTATGTTGAATGGTGGCATGTCTTTGAGGGCTTTTACAGTATGTGTGTGTTCCCATCCAGCCTCTATCAGTTGACTGGCCGGAAAATATCTGCAAACTGATGACACTAAGGAACATCAAGGTTCAGGTTGACAACAAATGACAACAACAGAAGCACCTTCTATTATTGGAGTCATGACCAACCTGCCACACATCAGACAGACTCTGTCTGGAGACAATGGCGATCAGTCACAACATTAACAGGTCCTCCATTTAGTTCACTATATCTCCTGATAAGCTACTTCACAGTATCTCACTAAAACATCTGAGAAGACCAGCACAGGTGCCACAAGGGTTATTTCATTTTCCAGCTTGAGCTTTAGGCTGTTTGGTGAAATCTTAAAATAAGAAAACCTACAAAATAAGAAATGGCCTAACCTAAAATGTAATAAAAACACAATCTATAGATCCAGGGATCTATTGTATGCAAGCCTCAGGCGCCTGTCCTAAACAAGCTATCATGGGCAAAAACAGCCTGTAGTTCCCACGCCACACCTCATGACTGACACACTGCATGAAAGTAACTGATGTTTTTAAACCAGAGTGAGTGAGTGAGTGAGTAAGGTTTTATGCCGCTTTTAGCAATATTCCAGCAATATCACAGCTGAGGAACCCAGAAGTGGGCTTCACACACCGTACCCATGTGGGAATAGAACCCAGACCTTTGGTGTGATGAGTGAACCTTTTAACCACTAGGCTACCCTACTGCCCCTTAAAAACCAGAGACTGTTGATACGCAGATAGCACACACGCATCCACAGCTGCCTACATTTATTTCCCTCGGCCTGACAACCACCATGAGGATTTCAACCTTTCTATAATAAGCAATATAAACAACACATGACCAATTTTTTTCAAATTTATTGAGTACAAAATTACAGAATTTTCATCTCCTGCAGGTTAAATACATAATCTAACTGATTTCTTGAGGTATGACAATATGTCTTGTAGTAATTTTGATGACTATATCTAAGTATGTACATGATTATAGTCTAGCGGTTACAGTCACATGCTGACACTGCAAACTGCATTCTAGTCAACACGTTACTTAACACAACACACAGGCAAATTAACTAGGTCCCAGTACATAGCAATGAGCGATGATCACTTGTGGGGCTAATAAATCCATTTTGCATAATTCCATAAAATGATCTTGGCACTATGGTATGAATTAATGAAAACATTAAAGACATGTTTTTTACAACACCCTCTGATCTTCATTGCAAAATGATTAAAAAATCAATTGCAGCATAGGTACCAGTGTGTAGCCATGCATGACTTGTGTTTGGTTATAGAAAATTATTTGATGCTGAGATTGCAATGGTATTAGACTTTGTCATATAATTGCAACTTGCTGCAGATGATTTCTAATGAAAGGATTGCAACAGCGTACAATACATTTTTCGTAATTAACATTGCTAATTTGCCTGTGTGATAAATTCATCTTCTCTCTGTTTACAAGCTGATTTAATACAACAGGCCATTAACTTATGTAGTTTGTACAGTGTATGGGATGTAAGTACAATGAGTTTGGCGACACAGTCAGAACTGACCCTGGGATAAGGACAGCGAGGACAGAAACCATGGGTTGACAGGGTAAACAGATCCTATTTGTTACAGTTAACGTTCACAAATCCTAAGCTGCAAAGCTGCTTCACAACGGATTCATTTTATAGAAAACCAACTGATAACAAAGTACCAAGTATTTTATAAAAAATAAACTGATACCATCTATCAAGTATTTAAAAAAACCAAAACTGATTATTTCAAACTCGCAAACAGATACTGTTGATTTAAAATATATTTTTTACCGAACCAATTCAAAAAATGACTGTTGAAATTTCAAAAATGAATCGGCTAGCACTTTCAAATCTGACAAATGAGTTAAGATGAACAAAATTAGAAACAAAAAAATTATACCGAGAATTTTTTTTTAAACAATTTCAAACTGAATTCCTTCCATTTTATCCCCATCAACCATGAAATGAGTATTTACAGATGAACAGTGAAGTGAAAGAAAAGGGTGAAAACAGTGAACTTATTCTACACAGAACAAGGAAGCAGCAGTGTTATGTGTCAAACATGCGACACATTTAACACAGTCACGACACATTGGTGGGTTCCCAGAGCTCTGGATCAGATGAAAGAGCACCAAAGCTTTTCGGGTACATGCTGATGATGAAAGACATTGAAAATGAAAACCTAACAATCGCAAATAACACACACAGGCAAACAATCAGCTGTAAAACATCCATTCACATTCACAATCTAAGACTGAAGTCAGGCACACATACTTCAACTGCCTCTCAACTCTGTTAGAGCAAGTCATTTCACATAAACTTGACCGAGAATTGGGTTTAGCACACCTTTGACCTGCATTTTGTCATTGTGTGACGGCTTGACGTGGTAGGAAAGCCATGAATGATGTCGGTGTTGATGGTTTTTAACATTAGTGAAACCCTGGGTTCGAGTTTTGACAGCCTAGAAACATAATCAGTTTCCTGCATGCCTAAACAAATGTCAAGCTGCCGTACCTCAGATCACACATGTCCCCTAATAAAATATCACTATAATATCATTGAAGACTGGAGACTAGGAAGAAATCATTGTCATAAATATAATGTTCATTTGATTGCTTTGGGATTTCAGTATGTAATTCCTCTGTATTATATTGTCGATAGTACAGTAGTTGTTGAGTAGTATCGGTGCCAGGTGACATGGGTATCACTTAAAGTACAGATGTCTGGAATCCAACCTTAATGTTTAACGTGACCAGTTTAATGCTTATACAACTAGGCTAACCTCCTCCTCATTATGAGAGTAAACAGTTATAACAAATTCAAATGAACCATAAAGCTTAGTTCATTATAACTGTATCTTGATAAATATTTGGACTAAAACACAAAGCAAGTGGCAAAGACTGAAAACATATTTCGTTATATTTGTCAGTTCATTATAAGGCTTATAAGCAGTTTATTGTGTGTTTTTAGAAGTGGCTGACCAGCACAAAATTAACACTGCGAAATAATATTGTTGCTTGGTTTCCTTTGTCAGAAGCAAAGCTTGAGGAAATCCTGAACTCCCCCTTTCATAAATTCAAACAATTTTACAAAAGCCCATATTTTAAATAAAAGAATTCGTAATATCTTTTGCATGTATAAGGCTAAGAACAAGTTCCTTAGGAAGGAATAAAATACACAATAATCTCAATCCATCCTCCACATTCAGCTTTGTTCTCTGCCACACAACCACCAACAGACTAGATCAGCACGTATAAATATAACAATGGCCATGGGAAAACATAGGAGTCAGGTAGAGAAGACAGAACCAAGCACAAGACGAACCCCTTTGGGAACTCCAGTATTGGACAGCAGTTGTGGGATATCCCTCGATCCTCTCTGATGCCACATCCTACCCAACACAGTGATAAGAGTTTTCTAATGTACTTACTGAAGCTTGGTGAGATGTAAGACTGTAAGGGGTGCTAGGATATCGTGGTTGTGTTCATGTAAGTATTTTGGATAACATGGTATGACTATTGAAGGCTTTAATTACATCTGTACAAAACATCACACAAATCAGAGCCAACAAAACATGACATAATCAGAATGACTAAATAGCCCACTAAAAAGTGTGTGCCTCCACTTGAATAATAAGTCCAAATTACATATCAAGTGGCGAAAGAAATTAAGTTCCTTTCATCATATATAAATAGCAAGATATGAATTAATGATTCAATAAACAATCTGTGAAGTTAATATATTTACGAACATGACTGGTCTTTAGAATTCAACCAGTTTAAGTAAACACATTTACAATAACCCAGAAAATGAATGATTCTTTCAACACCATTTCTACTCTTTACCCAGGTAAAAATGTTAATCTGAACTGAATTGATTGTTTGCTAAAGTTTTATCTAGAATCTTAGGCCATTTATTTAGCCTGAAATACATGGTATACACAAGGAATAAATTAACAACACTCAAGTGGTACAAGCATACAATAGTGAGTATTATATGTCGCATGTTAATACGATCACACTACTGGAGGCAAATGTCATCATGACAGGAAAGAACTGATCACATGACTGACAAGTGTATATCATGTTACGAGAAGTGGAAATAAAGTAGTTCAACGGAATGTCCTGCACTGGTAAAAGCTGTACTTAAGTAGAGGATAATATTTAAGTGAGTTGTGACAGTGTATGGAATAAGCCAAAAACCCAGCCAGACATCTGGGCTGGTAACTTCAAAACTTATGAGCCCAGAAGACATTTAACCGGTCCTTCTTAAATACTAAATAGACAGTGCTAGTGGACACGTTATCTGAATATTTTTTGTCACCCGTCCATCGGGCTGGTTAGCTGTAAAATTTGACCGTCCGGCAGAAATCTAGCCCGTCTCGGTCGGTCGGACGGGCCTTATTTCATACACTGGTTGTAAACATATTAAAGCTGATATATAGCGGTAGTCATCTGCTGTGAGTGTGGGTGTGCACGTGCGTGCGTGCGTGTGTGGTTGCGTGCATGCGAGAGAGAGGGAGAGAGTGTGTTTGTGTGTGTGTGCACATGAGAGAAAGAGAGTGTGTGTTTGAGTGAGGGAGGGAGAGTCTGAGAGAGAGAGAGAGAGAGAGAGAGAGAGAGAGAGAGAGAGAGAGAGAGAGAAAATATACAGTACAAAATAGTTACAGCCATCTTCAGCGCAAGTTTGACAAGACCCTCAAACTATGTGTGAGTGAGTATGATTTGATGTGTCATTTAGCTAAATATTCCAGCTATATATCAGCAGGACAACAAGAATGGATTCTACACTTGGAAGATCAAAGAAATTCTTACTTCATTCTTTCATACGGCAGCCATGTTTGTTCATTATTGCTAGTTCCAGCTGACAAGCACAAACCCCAGACCACCAGGTATAAACATAACAAACTCTAGCATCGTAAATATACACCACTGAGAGAATACATACAAGATGGTATCATATTTCATGAAATACTTCCAACATATGGAACCACAGATGATCTGGGAGATGAGTTGGGAGACAAATAATGATATATACAAGATGGTGAAGTGATGATTATTGCAAATAAATGGATGCTCAAAGATATAAATAGTAAGTTGTGTTATAAGTGAATTCATTGCACCATGTGTTTCACACAATGCTTAACATTTGAATAAAAGAAATGAATAATTATACAATAAAATAAACAATCATGGTGTCAAATGAGAATAAAATGTTTATGGAAAAATTGAATTATCTTTGCTTTTTTGCAACATTAATCTATTTTCTTTCAGATTTCAAATGCCCAAACCATAATGATTTTGTTCACAATCTAGACAAGTACATTTATAACAAATGGATTTCAGATTAAACTGAAACTAGATCTTGTGTTTGTCAATGGGAATACCATATGTATTCAAACAACAACTGAAATGTCACAATATCCTCCACTCCATAAGAGTTGTTCGTATATACAATTTACGGTAAAATATATGGCATATAATTCTTCGATAGAAGTAGACACATCTCCAACAAACAGGACTGTTTATGTAATAAGGATGAAAGAAGTCTGTAAAAAACGCATGTTGCAAGGTCATGACATTGTGTAAAGTAGCTAGGTCACCTCTCTATTAGAACACAATCAGATAAGACTGCACTGAATGAGCTTATTCATGCACGCTGCCAACCATCAACAGCTGCATGATTCGTATCTTTCAGACTGGGCACAAATACCTATTAGCTTTTTGTGTAATGCCGCACTCACCAATATTCCAGATATAGGGAGGCTAACTGTATGTAATTAAGTCTGGACCCAAACAATCACATGCTCTTATATTATGAGCAATGATTTATGTCATCAGGTATGATGATATGCAATTAGCCAAGTCTGTGAGTTTGAACTGAGTCAGTCCATATGACAAGGTTGCTGGTACTATTGTTACCTTGAACCCCCAGTGAGGAAGCTGTCAGTCAGAGTCTGGTTGTATGATTTGACGACAATGGATGATCAACATATCATTTTTGAAGTCAGTGAGTCACTGTTCCTATGTTATGAAAGATCCTATGTGTGTCAACAGTTCCACAGAACAAAAAGAACTTCTCTCTATTCCCGTGTGAAACTATATGTCTCCTTCCTCGGAGTATAGTGTCACATTTCTGACACAAACTGACAAAACATTTTCGACATTCACCATTCAGCTTGACTGAGCAAACTGCACATATAAATTTGCACTACCTGGGAGACGTAATCAATCTCAAGAACAGCTACCTAATTTGTCATCGGACACTGAAAACGTCTTATGATACTGGTTAACCCAAATAAAACCTATCAGCTGTAGTTCATTTCTACTAAGTCAATAAACATATAAATAGACTGCTTTAGGAACAAATCCCTTCCAGAAAATACATGTCAAAACCTGACCGTACTCCTAAACTTTAGATCAGGAAATTCCTGTGTCCGCATGAAGTCTTATTGTCTGCTGTGAGTTGTCATACAAATAGTATTTAATCATATGAAACTGACCCATTTTAAGCATCATTTCCAAAAGTCACTGTCAACTTGAAATATTTTCAACCTGATCCTGGTCATTCACATTAAATTTATTATTCTTGTAGGCCTGCTGCATTCTGTTTGTCAACCCTTTTGTAGTTAAGTCTATTATTACAGCCCTGTCGGCACAGACTACTATGTCACTCCTACTGTTGTCATGCATTAGCTGGTCGATCAAGCACCATTCAATTGTCAATTATTAACATCAATATAATTGTTGTTCATACCCAGGTGCAAAGTACAAGCTGTGCTGCAAAACTCCAACAGCTGCAGTAACCCAATCTAAGATTATCATCAATACATAACTCGCAAACTCATCCCTCACAAGAACATATTCAACATGGCAATATCAACATTATATTACAGATCATCCTGTTACCCTGGGTAGTTATCATAAAGAATTGAGACACAATACACTGGATAATCAAAGATAAATCAATGCAAAAGCAACATCTCCTGCACTTGCAGCTCGGTAAATAGTCCTTCATGTCCACCATGTTCCTCCATACGTCCATGGCCTCAACCTGACTGGTATAATTATGTTTCCACTCCCAGTTCCACATGCTGTATATACAGACAGATGTTCATACAGTCTGCTGTGCAACTCTCGCACCAATCATTCGGTGAAGAATCCTTCCTATCATCTGATTCTGATTTTTGTTCTTATTTTGTCAGACAAAGTCAGATATCTTCTTGCATACTGATGTCTCATCCAACATCAGGAATATATTTCAATTAAATCATTTTCGGAAGACTGAGGTGTTACAAGCACAATACTTCCAAACAGCTTCAGTGCACATCACACCATTTTAACATCATGTGTTCAGACATAATAATTTGATCAATATTTTCTCCTGAAATGGGGTAGATGCCAGGAATGAAATGTAAATCCAAACATCCCCATCTCCATGGTTACTAGTCTTGTCTTCCTGCGACGTGCTGGCACGTCCCGATGGGTAGACTACTTTCTGGATGAAATTGTCCCTGTAGCGTTCTTACGTCGGGCGGCCAACATATCGTAAAAGGGATTGTCGTTAATACTCATCCTGAAAAGAAACAAATGACATTTTAGGCAATATTCCAATCACTCGATAAACAAATTTTGCCAACTACAGATGGAACCAATTTACTGGATTCAAAGATTTTTTGATACATGCACGAACATTGAGTGACTGATTATCAGCAACCCTGAAGCCATTTATAGTGACATTAATAGTAACTCCATTCTGGGAGATTCCAGTCTAATATCTGTTCCTAGCCTCCACTCCAAACAGCTTGCTTACATTCAATATTGTGACTCACATTTCAAAAGTGCTGTTCTGAAAATTTGTTTGATGTTAAAAGGCACACTCAACAATATTCCAGCTATATGGTGGCAGTCTGTAAATAATCGAATCTGGACCAGACAATCCAGTGATGCAACATCATGAGCGTCCATGTACACAGTTGGGATAGATGCTCTGAATGCTGAGCTTACTCCTAATAATGCCATAGAAGCCTCAATGCTGATTTGAAAACTTCACCTACAGAGATGCCCGTGGAGAGTCTGCCAGGGCCCTGTTTCACAAAGCTATCGTAGCGCTACGACTGTCGTAACTCTATGTTAAAGTATGGGAGTTACGATAGTCGCAGCCCTACGATCGCTTTGTGGAACGGGGACCAGGTCTTAGCAGAGAGAGAAAGCAAATTATCTAACTTTCCTGAGAATGAATTGACATCATCATTGTTGTATCTGAAGTTGCCAGTATTTCACTTATTCCAACTAATCCAAGCTCTTTACAGCACAGCTTCCAAACGAACGCTTTCTTCTTGTTCAGATGAACGTGATTAAAGTTTCCCCAAAATTGCATCACAACTAACATTTACCATTATTTCCCAGAAAATTCACTGTCTATGCTTACAATGAAACTTGTGTCAGCAAGATCACTGTAAATAGCTGGACCTGACAAATCAACATCTGATATATCACCAGTAATCCACACGCTAAGGTCACAACACACCCCTAGTCAGCTGACAAGCTGAAATCATGTGATCCTTGTTATGAAGCTATCACTTCCAACAGGCACACAATACAACAGTCTCAATTATACCCAGTACATCTTATGTCAAGACGGGGCTGAGGGGTAGCCTAGTGTATACAGTGTTTGCTCATGACCTCAAAGGTCCCAGTTTGATTCCCTACATGGGTACAATGTGTGAAGCCCTTTCTGGTGTCCTGATATTGTAGGAATGTTGCTTAGAGTGATGCAGAAACCTTTCTCACTCTCTTGTCAAGAAATTTATCCAGTGAATCAGGAGTGAGGAAGTGAGTTGTGTTTACGCCACTTTTAGCAATATTCCAGCAATATAATAGGAGGGGACACCAGAAATGAGCTTCACAGATTGTTCCCATGGGGGAATCGAACCTGGGCCTTCGGCGTGACAAGCAAACACTTTAATGATTAGGCTACCAAACTGCTCCAGAGAATCAGGAAATAACATTTAGGAGTAATGGAGATAGTATGGTCACATTTGATATATACATGGTTCAGAGTTATCTACCCTGGATGATGCAGGATGGAACTATCACTGGGAGCTACTCTTCCCACACAATACAGGTATTACTGTCACTCACTTGATGCATCGGATCCACTCCTCCTTCTCCTCCGTGTTGCTGGCAGACATGCGGTACACTGTGTGACGACCTGGAATCAACATTGATACATTAATGTGACATCGTCTCCTTCACCGCACCAGGTATATGTGTGAATGGCAATCTGACAGACTGGCTTAAAATATCTTGCAAGTATAAGTATGTTTCAACAGACATTCAAAACATATTAAAGCATTATTCAGAAATATAATCAGCTTGCATCATGTTTGCATAATGTTTGCTTATTACCATGTAGCTAGAAACCAAAGCGTACAACATAGGTTTCGCTTGGCTTTGAGGTTACGTCAAGCAAAGGCAAGAAAGCAGTCACAGAGGTTTTGTTGTATCGATTCTGATGGCAATTACATGAAGAAAAACATGATCGCAACACTGCAACAATACACTTAGGACTGGCAAACGTTTTGAAAGATTGTCATTTTTATTGTCGCCAGTCCTTGGGACTGATAGTTTCAGAAGCTGGTGGAAATAATTATGGTAGGGGTATTAGCTAAAACTAATCATGAAGTATTCAACTATATATAATACATGTTTTAAATGATAATGCTCATCTAGTTGGTAAATGTATTTTGATGTTCTAACCATCCATATTATCACTAAAATCTACCAAAATAATACCAAAGACTGTTCGATTCAAAAGGTTCATAGTCTATTTTTAAGCTGACTGGAGGCAAACAGCACAATAAAAACATGGCAAAGCTCGTACCTTCCACCACTTTACCATCACCATCAACTTTACAAGCCTTGATGATATCGTTGCCCCCTGAGTAGAGCTCGAAGCAGTTGGGCTTGTTGGCTTTGTCCTGGGGCACCTCTCGTACCTGGATGTTCTCCAAAGGGATGATACCTTTTGGTTCCTTGTCCTGGTAAATCAATGTGTATCTCACTGATTACTCAAGTATAGACACCTTTTCTCAAAATTACTAAGCATTCCACTCTGGGTAAATCACATTGAGCTTAAGGGTTCTGAAAATCGTCTATCTGGATCTTATTACAATGTCTTTATTTTTGACAAAGGTTTGTTGTTGTTTAACTCCACACTCAGCAATACTTTGCTACATGGCAGTGGTCTGTAAATAATTGATTCTGAACAAGACAATCCAGTGATCAACACCATAAGGTTCGATCTATGACATGTGTCAACCAAGTCAGCGAGCTTGACTACCTGATCTTGTTAGTCGCCTGTTACGACAAGACCATGGGTTGCTGAAGACCAATTCTAATCTGTATCTTCACGGGTTCATTACACAAGTAGTCTCATGCACACTATTAGAGAAGTGGACCCAGTGGGTGCCCTACCGTAGTGTACTGGAAGTAGTACAAGCAGTTGTCATTCAGGATAAACCAACGCCTCTTCCAGTTCTTGTAGCGACCACCTGCAATAAAACAATAACAATCAGATGAAAAGAAATAAACACTTCACACACAAAAACATAAATTGAAAGCAAGAATAAGAAGTGTTAATCAGTTATCTCCCTTTGATATGAAATTGTCTCCCTTTGACAGTCTGGTTGATGCAATGCTGAAACATAATCGATAAGATCCCATATGAATGAAGGGAGTTCTATGACTAACTTCAAAATTTAGTATCAACATCTATTTAAATTTTACATAAGCAAGATCTATTTTATTCCAACTTCTGTACATTATTTGATTTAATGTCCTCCTGATTCAACCATCATGAGGATATTTGAAAAGGAAACATGATGAAAGAGGTTGATAAGTGCTTCATGCATATATTCTGGTCTCAATCAGGGTCAGTCACGTTGGCCGGGTTGAAGCAGAAACTCTGGGTTGGGTTGCAGAAGCCATGATTATAAAGGTCACTACAGGCAGCAGTCATGCTGATTTACTTCTCCTGAAGCGCTGACTTGTAGCTACTTCTGCTGTGGCAACATGCAACTAATCCGTATCTATATTCTCTAATCAATCCGAAACTGGCACAAACAGGGGAAGACAGCAAGCCTGTTATCCTCGATAATCTGCAGTGTATACGTTCCGATAAATCTCCACTTTACCCTGGATGCATCTACGGCTCGGCCAGATGATTTTATTACCCCCTTTGGCTGGCTTTTTATCCAATCATGGTTTCTACGCTGGGAAGTTGAGCGTACCAATCACAACTCACTTTCGCTTCTTTTATCTAACCGATTAAACTTGGCAACACAATTGTCGTGTAGGTACTTTGAAAGAGGTAGAAAGGGTTCTTGCATGTATTTGTTGAAGGTTTCAGACCTGTCAATTTGTCTGTATGATTTCCCCCAAAATCTGAGTTGTACTGTGAACAAACCTTCGCGGCTGCGACCACTATCTTTCTTGACACTGGCAAGCTCGGATGTAACGGCGGCTTAGCGGATTGGCTACTATGAGAATGCGGAGCCAGCAAAGGGAGGTAATAAATTATCGGGCTGAGCCATAGATGCATCCAGGGTACTAGTGGAGATTTATCGTAACGTATACCCTTGAGATTATCGAGGATAAAGCCTGTGGGATCCGTGACTCAGGCTATTGATGACCTCCAGCAGAAACAGCAGATGTGAATGTGGAAATGGGGTTCAATGTTGCATTCAGATATGCCAGAGGTACTTCATGGGAGACTTGTACACTAGCACTGGTCTGGCACTAAGTAACCATGGTGATGAGCATCACACTTTCAAAGTTCAATAATCCAGTAATCAGGCTGGGTAACCACTTCCCTCATGTTGCATGACAATGAGGTGTGGCACTAGCTACGACAAGGGTGGTGCCTCAATTAACGCTAACTGTTATTAGCAATTTACAAGGATTATGCTGAGCAGAAATACAACGGAAGCCTTTCTATTTTGTCACACAACACAATTCAACACCAGTACATAGGTGCTGTACCTTGCATTACCTCATAGTCTGACGTAGTGGAAGGTTCCCCTAAAACTGGACCACATTATAACAACAAAAAAACTGGCATGCAAGATGAAAAAAAAATTATTGGAAAATTATAACTTGACCATACTCAGTATAAATGACACAAAACAAAGATCAGCCAAAATCCCAATTAACTGTCATATAAGCATCCTGTTGCATGTAACATGTTTTGACATTAATGACAATGTCCTCAATGCAAGTATGTGAGTGAGTGAGTATGGTTCCATGCTGCTTTTAGCAACATTTCAGCAATATCAAAACGGTGTACACCAGAAATGGGCTTCACACATGGTACGTGACGAATTGAAATTAGATCTGTAACCACCAGGCTACCAATAGCAAGACTCCAATAGCAATTCACAGGGTTCTAGCCTAACATTAGTTTCTCCAAGACCAACTCAGGAAGGACCAGTGACATGTCCCTGTTGACTACCACTTTCCTATTGGTAGACATATCTCTGTACAGAATACTTTTGAGGACAAGAGTGAATGAGCGAGTGAGTATAATTTTATGCTGCTTCTAGCAATATTTCAGCAATATCACGACGGGTGATGCCAGAAATGGGCTTCCCTCATTTTAGTAATGTGGGGAATCAAACCCAGGTCTTCTGCATGACCAGAGAATGCTTTAATCAAAAGGCTATAGGCTACCCCACCGCCACTTGAGGACAAGAGAATAAAGGAAGTACTTTAGCATACTGTGTAAAGGACAGCAAGATCATACTATGATACTGTAAAGAGCTATACCATGAATGCCAGATATAAGTTGGTGTGTTCACATTTCAATACATGAAGTGCTTGTTGTGGCACTTGCAAATCCGGACAAGTGACACTGAAGAGAAACTGTCAAAAACATAATTTCTAAATAATATTTCAGTTATGAAGAATATTCTAATGGAATTCAAATCGTAACATAATGCTTGTTTTGTCAATGGGGTAAAAATATATTTCTCAAAATCAGAAAGAACGCATTTGACAGTAATGAAAAATAGGGTTAATGGTCCTTTGGTACTACCCAAAAGCAGACGGCCAATATTTCCACCAATAATCCAAAACTCCTTGCCTGAAAACTAATAATTATTTGTTCAGATGAAACTAAAACATTGACAGAATCAATGCATATAGATAACATAACATCAACACATGGGGCGAAGTATGGGATGTCTGTGATGGTAGCAAGACGGAAATTGATGGAGAGCGAGAAGGTACAGATGTGATGGAAGAAGTAGACAAGTTAATGGAAGATGAAGAAACTGATGACCACAGTAAGAACTGTAGCAGAAGACTAATGCATTGTCAATCAGGCTTTGTGAACGGACACTTACTCAGCTTAGCTGTACCTGTAGCCCCAACATAAAAAAACAGCAAATAAGAGGATGGTTCAAACATTGTCCAAAACAAACTCAAGAAGCGGATTCAAACATAGCCAAACTCAAGGTGACGGACATATGAGCGTTTTTGAACTTGTGTCATGTCAACATGGCAGAGGGCTGCTGTGGGTGAGATATGGGAGTTTGTGATGCATCTGCATTTTGTTTATCACACATGAATATTATATATGTTATAAACTTATTATATCCTATGGCATTCAGGGTAGTTTATGCATAGACAATACAAAGCAATATAGATATGGGGCTCTGGTTAGTGATGTGGTATATAGAAAAGCCTTGGAAATCTATGTGATTATGAAACAGTATTCAATATTTATGTCAAAGAGTTTACAATGGTTTCTAAATTCAAGTCATTCGAAGCCTCTGTGAGCCTTGAGGAATCAAAATGTACTACAGAGTGAGTGAGTTTGGTTTTACGCCGCTTTTAGCAATATTCCAGCAATATCACGGCGGGGGACACCAGAGATGGGCTTAACACATTGTACCCATGTGGGGAATCGAACCCGGGTCTTCGCGTGACGAGCGAACACCTTAACCACTAGGCTACCCCACCGCCCAAATGTACTACAGAACAGAAACAGAAAAGACAAAAATCTATAATATCAACCATTCCTCAAATGTAGGTCAGTGTGACGTTGTTTCAGGATTTACAACACAACAGATCCAATAACACACTGGATATTGACTCTGGTGAACTGACAGCTGGTACAAGTGTGTCTGTTGCAGACTTCCCTACCAGGGTGCAACAGTCAGTACAAACATAACCATATCTCTATACTGAGTAAGTGACAGACTAACGCTTAGTTGCTCAATATATATAATTTTGATCATAACAAATGAACCCATTTAAATTGAAAAGGTGACCCAGGGGACCAGAGATGAACCTGAGGAAATCTAGACTTGCTTCATATTGGGCTTTAGCATTGCAGGAAGGGCTAGGCTGTAGGGAAAATAATGTGGTTCAGGGACTTGAGGCAGACAAAGTGAGTGAGTATGGTTTTATGTCGCTTTTAGCAATATTCCAGCAATATCTCGGCGTGGGACGCCAGAAATAGGTTTCACACAGTGTACCCATACCAGGAATCGAACACAGGTCTTTGGTGTGACGAGCTGAACGCTTTATCCACTAGGCTACCCCGCCACTCTACATCTATACCGAAACAGAGGCTAAGCATTAACATACTGACATGGATTGAGGTGGCATTTGGCACTGCCAGAAAATCTACAGCATGATCATTCCAACCCTGACCTTTGCCACATCACCACCACAGTGCCATATTCAAAAGACGAAAGAGTTGGATATACTGTATGCTGAATTAGGTGAAGATTCTTCAAAACTCCAAAACGAACATGGTTCATATTTAACGCTGTACTCTCTTACATGTGGATATCACCTGGAGTTAACACTCAAGGAACTGGTTCTCTCAGCTGTGAAAGACATCAGCAGGTCACGGTGACCTAATATGCTACCACTCAGTAAGATACAAGAAGAAGAGGAATGCATCTAGCAAAGTCCATGTCCTTACAATATTTTCAAAATACAGGATATACACATACAGTCCTAATGATATTTAGTGACCTTAACCTTACTTGGAAGACAGCTAACTGGCTAGAGTCCCTGGTCTAATACCAACATATTCTGGTCACACTTCTCGGGGTAAGGCCTTTACAGAACCCAGTCCTTTGACAAAAAAGTTCAAATTTAAAACTTTGATGTGTCTACAGTGACGGCCAGAGATGTCCCAACACTTTTGATTACAAAATACAATAAACAACTTGCAACAGCTTCCCTGTTCTTTTGAGACACATATTTACTCCACTAGCTATGTTCTCTCTCACTCTTGTTTCCTTTCCTCACACCTGTCTCCATTGTAAATCTCTTTGTGAAGTGTTATCTGCAAAGGGTGTCAAAACATTTCCTGGTTTTTGTGATGTTGAGGGAAGATATGTGTCCTCCTCACAAAAGCGCAATTATTTCACATAGGAGGCTGGTTACAGTGTTAGTACAGAGTGTTACAGAAGGCTGTTACAGTGATGCAGTATTACAGTGTTACAGTATTACAGCACAGTGTTACAGTGTACAGTTAAAGTGCTGCAGTACTGGCAAAACCCATGCAGTTAGTTCAGAATGCGGCGCTGTCTGAGACATGAGAGAGATGTAGTACACTACTAAAGGGTGTAAAGGGTGTTGTCAGGGAAACGCTTCAAGGGCCATCCATCCAGGGGTCATGCCAGACTCTAATATAGCTCACACTATAATCCATACAATGGACACACTTCTCTGATGTTTGCAAGCATGTCATATATTTTAAGAATCAACATCAAGTACAGCAACAATTTTTATCAACTGAAATGACTTGAAATAAACCATAATTCATGGGGCAATAGCATAGGACTAAAACAATTGCCCGGTCAGAGTACCAACAGCATACTTGCACAAATAACACAAATGGGCTATATCAACTGGTCTTGTGTTTCAATAACAGATACTTAATAATTAAGGGTTCCAAGGTCTTTGGGTTCTATACTTTCTCTTTTTTTGGATCCCATAAATCCTCAGATTTTGATGACAAGGACATTTTATTGCACCCAAAGCCATTACAAGAAGTCCAAGATATTGTAGTATGGACCACACTGGGGCTCGGGGTATCATTTTGTGTTTTATCGAACAAAACAATATAAGTAAGCTACTAGAGCATGACCCTGACCTTGCTTCCATAGCCAGCCCTCCTTGACTGGGTTGAAGAACGTGTGCATCAAATCATTCCCATCATCCTCGGGAATCTTGAAGGGCTCCTTCTTGATGTTGTCGTACAAACTCTGTAACAATATTTGAAGTTAAAATGACAGGAATCTTCTGAACTTCAGCATACTACATATAATTTGTATGGGTTATCATGAAAATCAGGAAAGAACAGCCTCAGGAAACAGCTTGTTTATCTCAGACATAAATCAGCAAATTTGTCCTCCTTCAAATGACCTTGGAAAAATGTAAGGCATTTTGTCATGGCCTGAAGTATTCTTTCTTCAGTAATTGAAGTATATCCTTCAGGCTAGAATTCATCTCTACTTTTAATGTCTGCCTTCATTTTATCATTGTTCAGTGTTGAGCTTGGTATACATTCTCAAAGACAAACATAAAATCCTGAATCAGAGAGTGAATATAGTTTTACACCATGTTCAGCAACATTCTAGCATGTTCAGTATTATTCATGACACGGAAGACCAGATAATTGGTCAACAAAGATTTTAGCCACGTGGAGAGTAAAACCCCTGTCAGATTGACACTTGGTTGCCACACATCCAAAACACATAGTTCATACTGTTTTAAATTAAGGCAGCAAATTCCCTCTAATCCAGTGAGTGAATGAGTGGGTTTAGTTTTACGTCGCACTCAGCAATATTCCCGCTATATGGCGGTAAATAATCAAGTCTGGATCAGACAATCCAGTGATCAACAGCATGAGCATCGATCTGTGCAACTGAGAACCGATGACATGTGTCAACCAAGTCAGTGAGCCTGACCACCCGATCCCGTTAGCATGGGTTACTGAAGATCAATATTCTAACCCGGACCTTCACAGGTCCCCTAATCCAGACTGAGCTAAGCTGTCAAGAGGTATATAGTATGAGCAACAATGCCCCACAATCAGCCAGGCCACAAACCATACCCAACCAATACTGCAACCATAAGCAGGGGATATTGGTAGCCTATTCTGCCATGCACAGGGTATACATTTCATGAAGATTACCTATGCAAAGGGAGTCTTCTGGCAACGGAGAGCCAGGCCAGACATTTTACCCACCCAATACCCTTTAATATATCCTGTATAGACAATGGCATGACGATTACGTACGATAAGTAAGTCTTCTGGCAGGTCCCCGCCGTCGTTGATGCCACGATTCATCTGAATGAATCTCTCAGCTGTAGGTTTGTCCTTGACACTGGGGTTGTGTAAGCTGGTGTTCAGCATGATGATAGCGAAGGACAGCACATAGCACGTGTCTGAAATACAACGATTGGTCACAGGCTATGACATCAGGACAGTTTAGTGTGGCAATCATGAAGTGCATTGCCTTGAAAAACATAAGCCCAGTCTTCAGAACATACAAACAATGCTTTGTTGTTTATTTGTTTAACCCCACACTCAACAATATTCCACCTGTAAGGCAGTGGTCCGGAAACAATCAAGTTTAGACCACACAATCCAGTGATCAACAGCATGCGCACAGGTCTACACAGTTGGGTCATGATGACATGTCAACCAAGTCATCGAGCCTGACCATCCAATCCCATTGGTTGCCTCTCTTACAACAAGCATGGGTTGCTGAAGACCAATTCCAACCTTTGTTGCAGTAGATGCATATTAATACATTCACTGATCTAACATAGTTGTGTAATGAGTTGAAATGTTAATGAAAAAAACCCCATTTTTTCAGACGTTATCATTTATCTTAAATGGAATACTGATTACTAAGGAAAACATGTAAATGTACAAGTTCTGGGGAAAATGAACATACGTACCAGTGCTGGTGAAGACGCCTTGATTCATGTCGCAGTATCGCTCAGCAAAACACTCCATCATCCTGTCAATCTTCTGAGCCTCGCCGGGAAGGCGGAAACTCCAGAGGAACTGTCTGTACACAACAATACAGCAAATGAGTGAGTGTTTAGCAATACAATCAGTACAAACACATTATAGAGAGTTACTATTGTAGTCAAATTTTCATATCAGAATCGAACCCAAAATATTAATGCCAAAGCTGATACTGACATTCTGCAGCATCATGAAATCAGGTGTAGACCTTATAAAGTCTTGACATTAATACTGTTGGCTGTAAGACTGAAGATAAGATGTTGGATGTTTCAAGGTAGAAGATTAGATGTTGACTGCTAAAAATAGATTAAAATTGAGTGTTTCAAGACAGAAAGTTCGATATTGGCTGTAATTAGATGTTGGCTGTCTGAAAACAGTAGATTATATGTTGGTTGTTTTATAATAGTAGATTATATGTTGGTTGTCTTAAAATAGTAGATTAAATGTTGGTTGTTTTAAAATAGCAGATTATATGTTGGTTGTTTTAAAATAGTATATTAGATGTTGGGTGTTTCAAGACAGAAAAGTTCGATATTGGCTGTAATTAGATGCTGGTTGTTTCAAGACAGTAGACTACATGTTTGTTGTATCAAGACAGAACAGTCAGATGTTGGTTGTTTCAAGATATGTAATTATTTTTTGGCTTTAACATGACATTAGATAACCTGTTCCCAGTGTCTGGATATAACAAAAGCTGTCGAAAACTCACGGAATATATGTTGCCATGAACAAACACCAAAGGAAGAAAAGTCACACTGGCAAATACATATGTGATACTGTATTACAAATTTACCATTTATAAAAGTTTTTGATAAGTAATAACCTTCAGGTTTTCTATTTCCACACATTCACCTAAACTTACCATGGCATTGGTACAGGCCATATAAGAATTGATAAATGGAGCATATAGGTTAATCTAAATATGTTACAGGTGTTTACTTGATAGATATATTCTTCAAACATACATGCCATGTGCAAATGATCATTCTCTCTCTCCATCTGTGTGGAAGAATAAAAGTTGTACATCTTCTTCAACCCTGATAAAGATATCTCTTGATGAAGACACATAAAGAGAACAATCAACATCCTCAAGATAATGTCTCATTCACAGTGTTCTAACTTGTAGTTCGTACATGCTAGGGGAGGTAACTGCTGTCCAATCTGTTTGGAAGAAACTGATAAACTGTTGACTCTGCTCCAAGACAGACTCATAATTAACACATGCATCGGTAAATCACACACGTTTATCAACGTTTGGAATGATAACGTTTAAATGATTAGTTCCTGGCTACGCCTGAAATCTTTTCTGTTTTATAACTTAAAAAATACTCTCGTTTCTGTTTCCCCCCTCATCACTTGCTCATAAAACATTTAAGTGGTTACCCGGTCTTGTGTTGTATCTTAAGGAGATGCCATTTACGAGCTTTGTCTTCATAACATATCTTTATATCTCCTTGCTATGGATAATAAAACTAAAGAGCATCCACCACTTTCCTCCATTTTACATTATCTTTTTGTTTCCTTTACAGTAAGTCTCAATTTCTGGACCAGCGCCCTGATCCACGAGTGAGTGAGTGAGTGAGTGAGTGAGTGAGTGAGTGAGTGAGTGAGTGAGTGAGTGAGTGAGTGAGTGAGTGAGTGAGTGAGTAGGAGTGAGTGAGTGAGTGAGTGAGTGAGTGAGTGAGGAGGAGGAGTGAGTGAGTGAGTGAGTGAGTGAGTGAGTGAGTGAGTGATTGAGTGATTGAGTGAGTGAGTGAGTGAGTGAGTGAGTGAGTGAGTGAGTGAGTGAGTGAGTGAGTGAGGTCTTACGCTGCTTTTAGCAATATTCCAGCAATATCGTGGCGGGGGACACCGGAAATGGGCTTCACACATTGCACCCATGTGAGAACTCGAACCCAGGTCTTCGGCATGACGAGCGAACGCTTTAACCACTGGGCTACCCCACCGCCCCGAATGATAGAAAAACATGATTTCCAGTATGTTTGTATGTGTACAGTACAAGTATTGTAAAATCGTCTGACAGTTTCTCACCTGAGTGCCTGCACCAGAATCATGTCTGAGAATTCATGCAGGGTGACAAATGCCTTCAGCACCTCAACATTGAACTCATTTCTGAAACACAAAGATATACCATAAATAACTGCAGATAAAGGTTTCTAAAGGTTACACTTTCATCAAACGTCCTTTTCTGTTGATAAACACACGACTCTGTATCTCTCTCTGTGAACGAACAAGTGAAATCAACTTTGTCAGTGAAGATGTCAAATTTGCAGTTAATCACTAGACATGACTTAAATAAATTTGATTTTGCTTGGCATTGTATTGTATGCAGGGACTAAAATTACTGTGTGTATTTGTCTCGTAAACAGAACCATAAACAGCAATCAGATGTGCATACGTTTTCTCCCATCTACCAATGATTTAGTTAAAACATACCCCTATAATATAACGGAAGTACATTTTGATGTTGAGCCACATATTTCTGTCCACTTATCATGTTTATGGAAGACAACAGAAATAAGATGATATCTTTCATGCTTAGTGCCAAGCATCGTGGAGGAATACTGACAATATCTCCTTCATAGATACAGCAATAAAATTATGACAAGTCCCAAACAGACAACAAACACACTTGCTTATCACTGAATTTCTGGCTATTTTATCAGTAATCTTAGAACACCCAAGCTTATTTCTTAACGTAAGGCAAACTGTAGACTTACAGCTACACAAGCCTATAAGGTAAACATAAATAGTTAAATGAAAATTTCTGAAAAATAACAAACAGACTGGGGTCCTGTACTATCCGCTTATCTAGACTTGTCTCTTCGAAGGATGGAATTACTATACATCTATGGAATCAGTATTCAGTAGTGGTGGTCCGATTAATTGAAATAATCGAAGATTGGTCAGTGACTAAACGAGCAAGCAATCGAACAAGTTTTCTCATAATCGAACACAACCACTTTTGGAACACTTGTTTGCATTAACAATATTTTTCACAAGGCTGGTTTTGTCTGTGTCATTAAATTTACATTTCATAAGCACTACAAGCTCGTTCCAAGTCATGATTGAATTTATCTTAAAGAATCGAGGAAATCTGTGTTCCTAACATACTAATCATCCTATAAATATGCGAAATTTGTGAATGGATTTTGTGCAATTTGCAAAAACCCAAATTACTACATGTTTTTTCTTTATTTTTGTGTGTGTGGATTAACAAAGATAACAGGAACATTTGATAAATGACGCAAACCAATTATTTTCGATGATTGATCGGTTGTAATGAACCAATCATCAAACATGAGATTTTAACCAATTCCCAACACTAGTATTCAGTACAACATTGGAGCAAGGCTAGGCAAACTGTATCACCCCTGGTCTCCTTTCCATAATATGGAACACTGCAATCATGTATCCAGTACAACTCAGTATAAAGTGTAACCTAAAACATCCTGCGTGACATGTAGCCTCTCATATGTCTCTTCCACATCGGCAGTGTCAGGTGGTGCTATGCCCTCAGCGGCATCATTCCCTCTCAGTTACTTCAACCCTTACCTCGGTCAGTCACACTTGACACAGGCATACCTATATAAACAGTCTCTCATACAGACACTCAAACAAAAATAACTGAAAACTCCAAAGGAAATCTCCAAAACATTGGCTAGTTTTTATTTCTTTAGATTCAAGTGAAAATGAAGAAATTCTTGGGGATCCTTTCTGTTCTAGTTTAAAGATAATCTGAGCCCCAAAATTCTTAAACCAGGGATAGAAATACTTTTTTCTAAGTGTGCCTTAGGGCACCAGCCAAATATTTAAGAGGTGCCTTTCAGAAATCAAGTGTGCCCACATGGTTTTAGAATCAATGACTGTAGCAAGGATGATGATCTTTTGAAATATATTGTCAGAAAACAACAAATGTACCGGTAACCAGTTTTCGGTTATCACTGATATGTCTTCTGCTTAAGATGGCTTTCTTATGTTACATTTGTTCTGCTTTCCCATCACCTTTAATAGCTAAGAATCGTGTGAGAGGTTCACTTTTTTCAATATGTCTAACATACACAATTTACTCTTCACTAACCGAACTATCAGTACTCACAACACTCTCAATGGAAAAACAACCTGATTTCTTTACATCATCCATCATAATTCCAGTGATTTCCTGGGCGTAAAAGTCAATAAATGTTTTTGCTTGTTTGTCATTTGCTTAAGTGTTTTGTTTGGGGATTAAATGACTACAGGTGTGCTATGTCTCTAAAAATTAGGCGTGCCATAAGGGCACCAAGAACATTTTTTATCTGTGCCATTTCGATATTTACCGTGCCATGGAACGCTAATACATAGGGTATTTCGAACCCTGTTAAACTATTCCAATTTCAAACAAATAAGTGTCCAGCATGAATATTTTACCTTTGATAACTTTCCTCAAATGAAATAAATATTCTTTAGAAAAGAAAACACTTAAGTGAAGAGGCCAGTCCAATTTTCAAAGAAAACTTAAATCAAAAATAGAAAACACAAACCTCATTAGCTATTTTTGAATGGGCTGAAACAGGAAATGCAACATATTTCTAAGGCATCGGGTGCTAACTGTAAAAAGAAACTTAAAAAAAATATATGTTAATTTTGGAAGTAGGATTGAAATATGCATGCGATATGATGCAGGTGTGTGGAGATCCTTCTGAACTATGGCGCCAGAACACACATCCTCTCCCCAGCACCTTACCATTCACTCTCACGTATATTCCCTCAAAAACTTTTGAAATGCCCCCTTTCTGCAGATGACATAACACATAAGTAAAGCAAAGCTAGAATAAATATTTAGGGGAATGTTGACAGACATAGTCGATCTTGATGTCTTGACTGATAAACTTAAACTTCCAGCACACATTAGGCTGATAAATCGCTGAACCCTTCACACAATCTGGTATCATAATTCGTTTTATTTATCTAACATGAAATATATCCTTGGTTCTTATGATATTTCTTGACTGGGCTCCGAAAGTCATGTCAAAAATGCAAAGCCTGGGTCAAGCCGGGCCCAGCCCATCATATGATGTAAATATTTACCCTTACCATCCATAATGCATACTACAGGCATAACAGTGCATTCAGCAGGGATGTAACTTGGCACCAGCCTGCCAAGACGATTCAGTTTGTCTAATGTTATAGCTACACTAGGGGTTGATTCAGTTTGTCTAATGTTATAGCTACACTAGGGGTTGATTCAGTTTGTCTAATGTTATAGCTACACTAGGGGTTGATTCAGTTTGTCTAATGTTATAGCTACACTAGGGGTTGATTCAGTTTGTCTAATGTTATAGCTACACTAGGGGTTGATGTCAGTTTGATTCGGTAATGTTATAGCTACACTAGGGCTGGGGTTGGGTTGATTCAGTTTGTCTAATGTTATAGCTACACTAGGGGATTGATTCAGTTTGTTCTAATGTTATAGCTACACTAGGGGTTGATTCAGTTTGTGTAATGTTATAGCTACACCAGGGGTTGATTCAGTTTGTCTACACTAATGTTATAGCTACACTAGGGGTTGATTCAGTTTGTCTAATGTTATAGCTACACTAGGGGTTGATTCAGTTTGTCTAATGTTATAGCTACACTAGGGGTTGATTCAGTTTGTCTAATGTTATAGCTACACTAGGGGTTGATTCAGTTTGTCTAATGTTATAGCTACACTAGGGGTTGATTCAGTTTGTCTAATGTTATAGCTACACTAGGGGTTGATTCAGTTTGTCTAATGTTATAGCTACACTAGGGGTTGATTCAGTTTGTCTAATGTTATAGCTACACTAGGGGTTGATTCAGTTTGTCTAATGTTATAGCTACACTAGGGGTTGATTCAGTTTGTCTAATGTTATAGCTACACTAGGGGTTGATTCAGTTTGTCTAATGTTATAGCTACACTAGGGGTTGATTCAGTTTGTCTAATGTTATAGCTACACTAGGGGTTGATTCAGTTTGTCTAATGTTATAGCTACACTAGGGGTTGATTCAGTTTGTCTAATGTTATAGCTACACTAGGGGTTGATTCAGTTTGTCTAATGTTATAGCTACACTAGGGGTTGATTCAGTTTGTCTAATGTTATAGCTACACCAGGGGTTGATTCAGTTTGTCTAATGTTATAGCTACACTAGGGGTTGATTCAGTTTGTCTAATGTTATAGCTACACTAGGGGTTGATTCAGTTTGTCTAATGTTATAGCTACACTAGGGGTTGATTCAGTTTGTCTAATGTTATAGCTACACTAGGGATTGATTCAGTTTGTCTAATGTTATAGCTACACTAGGGGTTGATTCAGTTTGTCTAATGTTATAGCTACACTAGGGGTTGACTAACATCGTGTTTTGGAAATGAACATATTTTACAGATAAACAAATCAGGAAACATATTCATAAAATGTAATATAAAGGAGCCGAGACTTTCTTCATCTTCAAAAACTGTGGCAATCTAGACTTGCCACATATTCCAGACTTGCATGACATGCACTGCACTGGGTACATTTGTTCAGGGTGTGTATGACAGACTATCCTTGGGTCATTAGGGGTATTGTAATAAGTTGGGACAAAAACTTTTCAGGTTAAGTTGTTTTCCGTATTTGGATTACTTCTGAAACTCTAAAAGTCCAACACCATCGTTATGAAATGTTTTGTTAAACCACTTAGAAATATTCCATGAGAAACCAATAATAGTTGTGAACATTGTACAGTGTTTGAAATAAAGCATGGAAGTAAATGATTCTCCATTATTACCCATATGTTTTAAGTTCAAGGTTATGGCACTTAACCTGATGGACGCTTGAACCCAACCTGAGTACCAATGGGGGAACTGAACCCAGAGATTCTGCCTGGTGGAATTTCCTTGTCCCATCTTCCGCTAACAAGTGGCCTTCAACCCCATAAACCAAAAGTGAAATCACCCCCAAAACCCCAACAAAACCCCCCAAAACAAAAAGGAAAAACAAACATCTACAAAACCACAACTACTTCATCATTTACTGACAGTATCTGCCTCATCACGGTACAGCCCCATGTGCACAAAATAATTCTCAATCGATTTCAACTTACAGAGGTACAGATAAGCTGAGTATCTGCGTAAATTACGCAAATATTTATGTGAAAACTCAATTCCTATTAATTCTGTTGCGTACAAGTATGCTTGAATATTTGTAAATACCCAATAAATGTGATCTTACTAGTGTACACACAAAAATGTCAAATCTTAGCTTGCGTACCGGTGGATATATAAAACAAGAGTCATCAGAAGATGACATATCCCCCCGGCCCCCACATCTTTGAAAGAACAAATCATCTGACAGTTACTTAAAGTCCAGCTTGATTTTAGACTAAGTGCAAATCGTTTCCATGGAAATTATGAAAAAAATAAATGACAAAAATCTGCAAATAGCAAAAGGCACCACTTTGGGATCTGCCTCACATATCTGCCAAGTTTTGCTGAAAGATATTAAGAAGTTTTCGCGTTGTGCTCCGGAAACAAAACCCATCCCTTCCTTTTGAGACTAAGTTCGAATCATTTCCATGGAAACCGAGAAAATAATAAATCACAAATATCTGCAAATAGCAAAGGCATCACTTCAATATCTGCCTCACATATCTGCCAAGTTTTGCTGAAAGATATAGAGAGGTTTTTGAGTTGTGCTCCGGAAACGAAGCCCACCCCTCACTTTTGAATTAAGTCCTAATCGTTTCCATGGAAACCGGGAAAAATAAAAATGCCAAAAATCTGCAAATAGCAAAAGGCACAACTTTAGGATCTGTTTGATATATCTATCAAGTTTTGTTGAAAAATATTATAACGGTTTTTGAGTTGTGCTCCGGAAACGAAAGCAATCCTTACTTTTTGAGACTAAGTCCAAAATGTTTCCATGGAAACCGAAAAATAAAATGCCAAAAATCGGCAAATAGCAAAAGGCACCACTTAAGGTTCTGTTTCATACATCTACCAAGTTTTGTTGAAAAATATTGAACGGTTCTTGAGTTATGCTCCGGAAACGAAGCCCACCCCTCACTTTTGGGACTAAGTCCGAATCGTTTCCATGGAAACCGGGAAAAATAAAAATGCCAAAAATCTGTGAAATGCAAAAGGCACCACTTTAGGATCTGTTTGATATATCTACCAAGTCTTGTTGAAAAATATTGAACGGTTCTTGAGTTATGCTCCGGAAACGAAGCCCACCCTTCTTTAAGACTAAGTCCAAAACGTTTCCATGGAAACCGAGAAAAATAAAAATGACAATTATCTGTAAATAGCAAAAGGCACCACCTTAGGTTATGTTTGACATATCTACCAGTTTTGGTTAAAAAATATCGAACGGTCTTTGAGTTATGGTCCGGAAACAAAATGATTACGGACGGACGGATCGGACAGACGGACCGACGGACGAGGCGACGACTATATCCCACCGCATTATATGCCGGTGGGATAATAACGGAGGTATATCGAGAGGTTCTGTTTCTGGACATTAACATGACAACTTGCAGTCTTTCTTATCGTTTCTCATATTACATATCAAATATAAATAACAAACACTAACATTTAAACTTTATTATATTTTTAAAATTAATGGAAAATGGCAAACTACCCAATTGAGTTTGAGTGAGGTGAGTACAATATATTTGGTTACTCAAAGGAAAAGTAGGATACCAAATTGAGATGAACACAAGCGAGTACATAACTCAATGACCCAAAAAGTAATCTGTAGCTCTGAACTTAACATGTTAGTGTTGCATAACTTTCAGCAACTTAAGTCTTGTACTCATCAGTAAGATCCTTCAGACCTTTGTTCTGTTTCACAGGCTCTAAAAGCATTCCTTCCAATGGCCATTTTCAATAAAATTAAACCTTATGACTTGTGTCACCTCAGGCAAATAATAAACGTAAACAATAGAAAATATCACTCGTTAGCCAGAAATCCTATAATAAAAATAAACATATTGAAGTGATTCAAGCTGAATTGCTTTTGCTTCTGTTCACAAACCAATACTGTAAAGAAAAGTCCACCACAAAGATTGTGGAAATATTTGTGGTATCAGAACAGATCCCCTTGGATACACAAAGTTCAACAGAACTCATATAAGTAGGGACCTCTCACAAGGAAGCATTATGCTCTGTAGGCTTGGATACAACAGCTCCTTCATAAAGACTTAATGATCCCTAATGACACATATATGTTTTGGATAAACTCACTCTGATAAAACATATAGGGTTTCCTGCATGGTTAGGCTTTTAAGAGTCAGCTCAGCAGGCTGCATTCTGAATAAACACATCACAGCATCGTGGGGCAGAAAAACTTGTTTAAAAGTTTCGGGAGGAATTTTCATGTTTATGTTACGATTTGAACACATGAAGCCTTTCTCAACCAGAATACCTTGTAGACTTTGGAAGATGAAATAATCCAACAAAGCTTAACTGTCATACAAGGATCCCTGGAGATATTACATTGGATATGCATCAATCATCAATATTTGGTAATATAGAGATTTTTTCCTTCAGGTATTTTTTTAATAACAGGAGTGAGGGAGTTTAGTTTTACGCCACACTCAGCAATATTCCAGCTATATGGCGGCAGCTGTAAATAATCGAGTCTGGACCAGACAATCCAGTCATCAACAGCATGAGCATCGATCTGCACAATTGGGAACCGATGACATGTGTCAACCAAGTCAGCAAGCCTGACCACCCGATACCGCTAGTTGCCTCTTACGACAAGCATGGGTTACTGAAGATCAATATTTAACCCGGACCTTCACTGGTGTTATAACAGGAAGCTAGGGTTGTTTGAAATGATCCTGTAATTGTCGTGCATATTTTAATGCATTTTCTCATGCATCTAATGTCATAGACTGAAGCAAAAAAAATGAAAAATTCAAAATAAATAAAATAATAATATCAACCAGGCTACCCTACCACTGAACATTTCAGTACGGTCTACGAACAGTAGTTGTGTGGCTAGCATTACCTCTCTCCCAGGTAGTCTCCGATGGCCGTCTTATTGAGGCCTTCCCCTTGGAACAAGAATCTTGCCACATCATCGGCCGTGTCTTGTAGGAGGCTGTGCTCAATCAGGTACTCGATACCCTGAAAACAAAAACAACCATGTTAAGATGATGGTGAAATTAGTCCATGATGAAAACATTTCGGTCAACCAGTGAAAACACATCAATACAATTAGCTGTTAAAAGAGTTTATTCTTAAACAAATGGGCAACAGTTAGTTATTTCACAAGCCCAAGAGTATCTCAATGGATCAAGTAGTCAGGTTCTGTGACTTGGTACACTATCATTGTACCATGGCTATGTCAGGAAGAATAACAACATATGGAGGAAGAACTTCTTTATTACAGGGAGAGCGACGTTTCGGTGTCGGTTTTAACACCGTTATGAAGCAAGTGACTTTTCTCATGAACTGATCCAGTTTCAGTTGTGAACAAACAGCCTAAGAAGTGTGACACAACCATGAAACAATATATATACAATAGCAAAATAACTAAACCAGGATGGCCGTTACACATTGTATTGATGCATGAAATTGAAATAGGGTCTGATTAGTTGTTATTTCAACCATTATACAACAATACTGGCCCTGTTCAGGTCAAAATATGGCCCCGTTAAAAGAGCCAACCAATGAACATAGGCTGGTAATAACGAACACAGGGTGACTGTATTCCTGCCAGAATTGCTCATGCAGTACACCACTGGTTAGACTTGCACAAGTCTCTAAGGTAAAAATTAATAGTTTAAATGATAACGTCTACTAAAAATAATGAACAACAGCCTAGGGTCTTGTACTGTCCAATTATCTAGACTTGCCTCTTAAGGATAGAATTACCATACATCCATAGGCTCAGCATTCAGTACAGTCTTGGAGCAAGGCTAACCATTGGTTTGCCAGTCTTTAGTTATAGACTGATGTGATATATCAGCAATATTACCACAAGCTCTTCATACAACATTCACTCACTCACTCATCAAGGGTTGATCAGCTTCATCATTAGTTACTGTATGAAGCATGACACTTAACCATAGAGCACTGAGTGGCCATACAAGTGCTACAATTACAGTTCTATATAAAGTGCTGTCCTAGATTTCAAGTACATGATTTATCATAGCAATCTCTCCTGTTTCCAGTATCAGCTCACACAACATTACAGTTAGACTAAGGCTTAGTCTCTGAATATATATAATTTTGATAGTAACAAACAAGCCCATTTATATTGAAAAGGAGCCCTAGGGAGACCAGAGATTCAGAGCCTGAACCTGAGGAAATCTAGACTTGCTTTATTTAGGGCTTTAGCACTGCAGAGAGGTCTTGGCAGTAGGGAAATTAATGTGGTTCAGCGACTGTGAGACAGACTACATTACAGTGTGAGGGATTCCAATGTGTGAAGCTACTTGTTCAAGGGGAACAGTATTCTTGTTCAACAGTGTATTAATTAACAAAATGTGTATAGCAGTCTGCGAGTGCTACTAGACCCATGCTTTAACCATTAGTCTGAACCTCTGGACTTGTAAACTCAGTAAATACTTCAGTCTGGACCAGACAATCCAGTGATCAACAGCATGAGCATCGACCTATGCAACTGCAGTGTTCATGAATGGTGTTTCAAAGTAACAGGACATTAGGTCCTGCAAGTTTCAGATGTCTGTCTGACCCATTGAAAATTAACATTTCCACACAATTTGCATTGAAATTATCAACAAACGTTCATAAACTGTGTCACATGTCACATATAACAACTTCAGTCAAAGTCATTCTGAAATATACAGTCAGACACTGGGGCCGGCAGGTTGTAGACTTCTATCGGACCGTTGGCGAATCTGCTGGATTTGTCAGAGGGTCCAACGCTATTCGTGAACACTGGCAACTGGGATAAGATGATGTGTCTACCATGTCAGCGAGCCTGCCCACCTGATTTTGTTAGTCTCCTCCCATTACAAGCATGGGTAACTTCAAGCAGTGACGCTAAACCTTTGCAATGATGTTAAGGCTAGTAGACACAATCGTTCTGGGCACTGATATTATGTATGTAACAGGAAGTAATTTGTTAGAGGGAAAATCTGAAAACATTTCCAAGTCATTTCAAGGGGTTCAGTGTGAATTGGTTTGGATCAAGTTCACGATGAACAAGTGGCAATTGTCCCTGCTGGCATATAGTGCAGCCATATCTAATCAGTCCTGTACGCTGACTGACAAAAGCACATGGAGTGCACCACAATGACCGATGCACACTGAATCATCACACTAGCATGGTTCATCAGCCTGGTGCAGCAGTGGTGCATATACCATTGTGTACACACACTATTTCCTGAACTAGACAACACATAAATTGTTCAAGCGCATCAAACACTTGTGGGGGAAAGTTGCTATTTTAACTAAACATGGGCCTTTATGATTTGTTGAATGTCTGCTGTGAAGTAGTACCAGTAAAATACAACAACTCTCACATTTGATATACAGTAGAACACGGATATAGCGAACACGGATATAGCGTACAAACGGATATAGCGAACAAATTTAAAAGTCCCGTCAACAATCCTTTATGATATCATTAGAATTATACGCGAATAACGAACTCGTGAGTAGCGAATTAATGGCTATAGCGAACTGATTTACTACCCCCAAGCCCAATTAACGACGTGATTAGCGAACTCACTCAGTGTCAGCTCAGTGTCAGCTCAGCCACTTAGCGGTGTACATCAACCTTGTTGGCGGCGAATCAACATATTGTTGAGATTGTTGTTATTGTTAAACATGTTCTAGCTAATGTCTGTGAATGATAAATGCAGAATTTTAATGTTATGTCAATATACATGTACAAGAATAAAGATTTGTAGCCTCAGCATATACGTGTCTCTACATCTCTACAATCCAAGATGGCAGTCAAATGTGAATAACGAACACCGGATATAGCGAACTAAATTTCTTGGTCCCTTGGAGTTCGTTATATCCGTGTTCTACTGTACTAAATTGACTTTTACACTTTAATCAAACTGTTAATTGTTTTATAGTGTAAGTAGTGGCCATTTGGCTGACGGAGGAGCAGCACAGGTTAACACAACATATCATATGGCCCTGTTCAAATCTCGACTCCCACCATAGGTTAACACCATGATATCACAGGACCGTGTTTATAACTAGACTCCAAGCACAGGTCAACACAGTCTGTCACAGGTCAACACAGTCTGTCACAGGACCCCCCTTCACTTCAAGATGAAAGGTCAGTCTTGTCTTCACTTGAAGTACCAGGTTCACACAGACATGCTACAGTGGCAGCTCTGTGACACACTGTGGTTCAGTATAGACTCAGGAAACCAAGCACCCACAATAACATACATTCATAACCTGCAGGCTTTCTCATGACACTGACTGGAGGCTGACAGATAAGTAATGAGCCTGTCATGCATATTTTATTCTTTACTTGACAATTCATTCTAAGTCCTCAATGCATTTTTACAGTCTAATCCTGAGCAAAATAATAAACAAAAGACTGTTGGCTAGGAGGATGGATAAATTGCAGACCATATAAGAATAAGGGATAAATGGTCAGGTAGATAGAAGAACGGATGAATAGTTTGCTGGATAAATTCATGGAAAAATAGCAGACAAAAGATTCTTTGTACAGGTGGGTGGATAAATAGCTGGATGGATAGCTGGACAGATGATTGAATAGCTGGACAGTTGGACAATGTTGCTGACTGGATAGATGGATAAAAAGACTGAATAAGGACTGATGACTGTCTGGCTGGTGATGAAAGATAAGATGAAAACTGAATTACTCGATGGATATACTGATGACTAAGAAGGTGAGGTGAAATTGGGTTTAACGTCGTGCTTGAGAATATTTCGCTCATATGACGACGTGTGATGACTAAGAAAGACAAATGCTGACTGACTGGCTGAGTTTGGTTTTACGCCGCTTTTAGCAATATTCCAGCAATATCACGGCGGGGGACACCAGAAATGGGGTTCACTCATTGTACCCATGTGGGGATTCGAACCCGGGTCTTTGGCGTGACGAGCCAACGCTTTAACCACTAGACTACCCCACCGCCCCTAAGAAAGACAAATGACAATGAATGAATATATAACAGACATACTAATGAACGAACCAGATAATTTATCCTATAAAGACTAATAGTGCAATCTACATGGTAAACAAGCCATGAAAGCACAGCATCTCAGGTTAAAAGGATAATTACTACATTCATTCAAGAATGCATGACTTCAATGCAATGAACGACAATAACAATTAGCTAGGGTGTTGTCACAGATCCTGTACGAGGGGATGTGAGATGTGTCTAGAATATCCTTCCTGCTGAAGCAAGCAGGCTTAAAACAAAGAGGCTTGATGTAATGCCATGTCACTCTCCTTCACCGATAACGAGAGTACCAATGACGCAGGTGTAGTTGGGGTAAAGAAAGGGATGGTATGAAATGCCAAATCAAGTATAGCCAGAAGAAAAAAAAATCCCAGGAATTGCCAGGGTTACTTTGCCAAAAACAAAGTCTGAATCTGATATTACATTTGGATGGGCATTCCAGATAATGCTAAGTCAAACATCTACCCCTGAACACATTTTAGTAATAACTTAAATGGCCAGATGTCTATCAATGGCAAGATTTAGGATTTTCTGTTACATATAGTCCCTCAAATACATTGCCGCGTAGTATCCTCGCAGAAAATAATGATAACAAGTCCACTTATATAGCACTGAACTCCACACCACTGCGGGCATGCTCTAAAGCATACCATATGAACCATATTTCCTACAGCCTATCCCCTCCCTGCAATGCTAAAGCCCTAAATGAAGCAAGTCCAGAGTTCCCCTAAGAATCTCTGGTCTCCCCTGGGGCTCCTTTTCAATTTAAAAGGGTATATTTCTTACAATCAAAATGGTATATATTCAGAGACTAAGCATTAGTCTACATTAGACATTATTATCCCTGGATAACCCCAGCTGCCTGGGATATCTACAATTTGAGGCCTTGAACGAGTATTGGCTGGTGGAGCCGAGGTGAGGTGAGGTGAAATTGGGTTTATCGTCGTGCTTGAGAATATTTCGCTCATATGACGACGT